GTCATAGATTTCATAATTAATCTTGGTTGCTAAAAATTTCTTTGAATGGAAAGCTATTGGGTACTGTTTGTCATTTGTTTCCATTTATGACATGATACCTATAGCAAAATCTAACGTGCCTATTTCCATAAAAAATGCCTTGAAAAAGTCAACACAATTTAAGATTGGTGTAGAAATAAATTTCTTCTTTAAAGCATCAAATAATGCTTTTGCTTCTTTATTCTACTCAAGTTTGCCTTTACAAATCAAACGTGTAAGTGGAGTTGCAACTTGAGAATTTTTTTTGATAAAGATTCGATAGTAATTAGCAAAGTCCAAAAAGCATTGTACATCTCATACTGTTCTTGAAATCTTCCAATCTATGATAGTTTGAACCTTCTTGGGATCCATCATAAGGCCTTTCTTGAAAATGATGTATCCTAAAAAGTCAACTTGAGTAGTGTGGAATACACACTTTTTCAACTTGGCATATAATCTTGCATTTTTAAGTTTTTGAAATACGTGACGAACATGAAGTTCAAGTTTTTATGTATTTTTAGAGTAGATTAGAATGTTGTCTAAATAGTAAACAACAAAACCATCTAAAAACTCATGAAAAATATCATTCATAAGATGTTGAAAAGTGGCCGGTGCATTCAAAGATCTAAAAGGTATGACATTATATTCAAAATTTCCATACCTAATTCAAAAAGTAGTCTTCCATTCATCTCTTTCTTTGATATGAACTAAGTTGTATGCTCCTCGTAGATCTATTTTGGTATAGATCTTTGCTTAATTGAGTTGGTCAAGAAGTTCTAAAATCAAAGGCAAAGGATACTTATTTTTGATGGTGATCTTGTTGAGACCTCGATAATCTATACACATTCGCAGAGATTCGTCTTTCTTCTTCACAAATAAGATAGGAGCCCCGGCTGGAGATTTAGAATGGCATATGAAGTTCTTTGCCAAATTCTCATCAATGTACTCCTTTAATGTAGCCAACTCATTCTGTAATAAGCTATAGATTGGTCCGAATGGTGGTTGAGTTCCTTCTTGCAGATCAATTGAACAATCTTAAGGTCAATGTTTGGAGAAAATATCTACATTCTTCTTTTCAAAAATATCTTGGAATTTTTGATATTTCTTAGGAATACCACTCGACGTTGTTTCACCATTAGTAATAGGTATAACATATATAGCAAAAGATGATCCTTCTTTTGCAGCATGCATGAAAGCTTTTGCACCTATTAATAAAGGTTTGGACGTACTGGACTTATGTACTTTTACTTTGCTAACACGATCTTAGATTATACTATCAGAAAAGTTAAGGTTATAAGAAATCCAATCTATTTAAGGATTATATTTTTCTAGCCATGATAATCCTAAAATAATCAGATTAGAGGGAGATTTTATTACATTAAATACTACTACGTTGTTATGATCTTTAATTGCTACATCTAAAAGAATAGTTTTATAGATAATATTTCCAAAAGACAATGAACGACCATCTATGACTTCTACATGTATAGATTTAACTTTCTTCACTAAAGTTATTTTTTGATTTTTGGCATAATCTTTGTCTATGAAACAGGTGAGGCTCTTGAATCTAATAAGGAAAAGACTTTGTGATTATTAGGTCCTAAATATACTTCTATTATAAAACAAGGTGAGGGGTCTGAGGAGAGGATAAGACCTTTACTAGGTGTTGCACATAATTTCAGCCGCACGGTGTCATAAATCTCCTTTGCACCTTTTGATTAATCTCAAAATTCTCATATATATAGGAAAACAAGTCTAATATCCTCTTACATAAGTTTCACTCCAATCCAATTAGGAGATTGCAAGAAATCTTAAAAATCCTCACTAGACCTAAAATTCTACTTCCTGAGACCTTGATCTACTTAAACCTCAATATTCCTTAATTCAACCGTTAGATGGAGCTAAAATTCACAATACATATTGAACACAACTATAACCATAAACCCACAAAATTTCATCCATCGATCTACTACAAAACTCTTGAAATCACCCAAAACGTAAACCCTATTTTATTTCACAAAATCCAAGTCATCCAAAACAAACCTTGACTTTGCATAGCTCTTACAAAGTCAATACAAATCCAAATCATCCAAAACTAACACCTATAGAAACCCTATCAAATTTGCTATCAAATTGCATTCTTTGATCTGCCAAAGAGTCTTGGAGTCATCATCAAGACTCGATTTTGTGCCTCAGGGTCTGATTTCGACCCTGGTTCATAACCGGCCCTCTCCGGGTATCAACATTTAGTTTTTTAAAGTAATTATTATTAGAGTTTACTCTTAACTTTCTCCTAAAGATGTCTTTATCATTTTTTTTCCAATCTATCTTATTTTGCCTTATTTTTGGCCCTACAAAGTAAGCAAAAGCTATTTTTTCTAAAAGGGCAGCATTACTACCAAACATTTTATTACCTTCCTATCTTTTATCCATATTTTTCTACCTTTTTTTTTAACTTGGATCTTCTATAATAAGATCCATATTATCATCTTTCATCATATAGTTGTGTTACAACACAACAATGGTCTCTATTGTAACTAGATAAACTTATTTTTTGACACATTATCTACTTTGGTAATTGTACTCCTCATTTTGTAATTGTGTTGCTTCTTTGGACAATATTGAGCAGTGTGCTTAGCTTCTCCACAATATAAACATAACCCCTCTTGGCAACACCGAATCTTTTCATGCTTTAAGAGAAGTTTAAAATGTATCTTATCAATTTGCATTGGTTCTAGCTTTGACGAATATGTTTCAGAAAACTTTGGAGCTGCCGCCATTACTTGACTTGTTCCTCTCCAACCAAATCTTTGTTCTTGATGCCTTTCAAATAAACAATTGTTACATGCAATGGCTTGAGTAATAAATTATTCTAAAGATTCTACTTTCGACATTATTAATAACAAATCTTTGACGCTATCTTTCAATCCATATCAAAATTGGTTGATAAGTGCTTTGTTGTTCCAATCCACATCACAAGCAAGATTTTGGAATTTGGCAGCATATGTAGTGGTTGATCGTGATCCTTGCCGTAAAGATAAAAGCTTGGACCTTGCTACTTGTTCTCGATCACTTTCTCTGAATGTGGCCGTAAATACTTCTAGGAATGAATTCAAATCATAAAAAAGTTGTGAATCTTTTTTCATTAAAGGTACAAACCAAGAGAGAGCATTTTTTTTTTTTTTTTTTTTTTTTTTCTCTCTCTCTCTCTCTCTCTCTCTCTCTCTCTCTCTCTCTCTCTCTCTTTATATATATATATATATATATATATATATATATATAAAGTATTCATTTCTATTTTAATAAAATTAATTTTATTAATTATATTAGCTATTTAATTATCTTATAATAATAATTATTATTTTTAATATAAATTAGCATGAAGAAATTATGATATTATTATATTATATAAAACCTTTTTTACATATACATGTAGGATCTAATTATAAAAAGAATATTTTTACAATACCATCATTATTTTTATAATATCAAATACAAGGTGTATATATATATATATATATATATATATATATATTTAAAACTTCAACAATCTAAAAACCTTAAATCTTAAAAATATCTAAGTTTTATATCCTATCAAATTTTGAATATTATAAATTCTATGAAAATCTTAATAAGGCCTCATAATTTATAAAAATATTATAAAAAATATAAATTATAATTAAGAAAATTATAAAATTATAAATCTAAACTAGATTATTAAATTAGCATAATATTTTATACCAATATTTCTTTTAATTATTTATCTAATCAAAAAAATTAATAAAAATTTAAATTATACATTATTATATCTTGCAATAAAACCTTTATTATTTTTGTTTGGTCTTTTACTCTTATTTGATGAAAAATTCTATTGAATAAATCTCCTAATCCAATCATTATTTATTTATATTTTTTAGTATAGAGCTTGATCTTAATATCTTTTATGTATATTATAAGTTGAACTTTACTAATATATAAATCTTTAGATACCTGAAAATTTACAATTGAGTTTAAATTTAAAATTTTGTATACATTTTTATATAAATAATAATAATAATTTCTAAATTTTTAGTATTAGAATAACAAAATAAATTGAAATAACATAGCTTTTTTATACTTCGATAATAAATATATAAATTAAAAAAATTAAAAATAAATTTAAATTTCTTATTATTAATTTAATATTTTAAAAGAATTATTAAAAATAAACCTTGACTTTTAGTTTTTTTAAAATTTCTTTTCTAAATTATTATTCATCTATTGCTTATACTTTTTAAATACAAAATGCAACATATAATATAAAAAATATTATTAAACCTAATCTATTGTCCGATTTCCCCCCTACAAGAGAAAATTTCGTTATTTTTGTCACAGATAGGATCAGAGTGAAGGAACATTTGTTCTTGAGGTGGATTGAGAGGTTGCGTGGACAGTAGAGCACAGACCGTAGACATCATTGAGTTCCCATTATCCTTCCAGATATAAATGCTGGTTAAGACTGAAGGATTTGTACTATGACGCACAAGATCTCGTTGAGGGTCTTTAAAAACTCTGCGAAGAACCAAAGTTTGTAGATGTGCTTAGCGAAGTTCTTTTTTGGTATCTCATGGTCGGGCCCGAAAGTACGAAAGCATAATTTCGAGAAAGTCATGTTCAGTGTAAATTAACACTTAATTAACCTGATGCTGATTTGTCGAGGAGTTTAAATCTCAATACTTCTGTTCGGGTTGTAAAGGAGTACCTGACCTTGTTGATCAATTCTTATTGATGCTTAGGAGATCATACTTGAAACTAGCAGAACAGGGACACCATACATCCTAGTTCAAAATCAGAGTATATTCTGCAGATGCCTTTCAGTAAACATTTCTCCGCTCATTTTCTCACTGCGGTTTATGCACTCAAGAAGGTTTCCTCTTCAAAAGGAATCGCCATATGTGTGTGCTATGTATGATGGCTTAATTTAATTCGGGACTCACATGAACTACTTTGCAATATGTTTTATTTATGTAATTGTAGTCTTAAATCTTTTCAGAAAATTCAAGAGAAGATTTGGGGGGACGACAACTGAATGAGAAGAACTTACCAATCACACTTGGGTTCACTGCTTTAAGCACACCGAATGCCCTGGACATAATTCACACACTGTCTCACCTCAATCTAAGTAAATCTAACAGTCGACAGTCTCACAACATAACTCTGCCATAAATCACCATGAATCGACTAGCGAGAATCCATTTCTGCTAAATTTTCAACACCTGGAGGCATTTGTTGGACAGTATGGAGGGCGACATCTTCTCGGGAAGGCCATGTCGGCGTTTTCGATGAATTGTTGAAGCTACTGGGGTCAAGCCTCAAAAATCCTTGACTAATCTGGGATGCGCACTCTTCTCTCAGCAACCGCAACACAAGCTCCTCTGTCCCAAGCTTCTGTTGTATTCCGAGTCGTTGCATTGCTATCCGGGAACCATAGAAAAGCTTAAACACAAGCTTATCCACATGGTGGTGGTAGTCGTCCCCAATATGCAACTTCTTTTGCATCTTGAGCTCTTGCTCCGCAGTCGCAATGCATCGCGTAATGTAGTCGCAGAAACTTTCACTGGGTGTTGGAGATATATATTCCCCCATCCACTTTAAAATATTTTTTTGTCGAAAGATACTTCGGTCTTGGGGAGGCACAGTTTTTAGACATGGGTGGTGAGCCCAGTCGGGGGGGCTTGCACAAGGGTCACCGGTGTGCTCAGAGTACACTTGTATCGAGGAAGCAGATGAATCAGTTTCTTTGCCTCGACTTCCATACGGTGAATGTGTCTGGTTTTTATGCATGGTCCATTGACAAGACGATCGATCGGTGGAACAATCTTTCGGCCATGCGGAACTCATTCTCCCAGGTCTGTTTTCTTCTATCGTTTAATCCACCTTACTTGGGACTGGACTAAAATTTCCAAACCTTTTTCATGGTTCGACTGTGTCCACTTGGACGAAACTTGAACATCCAAGTCACAGCAAGCTTGGAGAGGTTGGTCTATTCAAGAGATATCAAGAAAAGATAATAAATATTTGAGGTTTTTGTTACCCATCAAGTTAAGTGGATTACACATTGCCTGAATCACCGAAAAACTTCGCACTGTAGGCAGGAATTAATGAGAAATTTTGATCCTAACTTTACCTCTTGGGATTAGTATATTCCGACAATATGCTTAGTCAATCTTAGCACAAACCTAATCCCAGAACAAGGCTACTTCCTGCAACTCCATCACGGGTACTAGTCTCTTACCTCAATTCAACCCCCTGATTGCACTGTACCATGTGAATCATAAAACCTTGCTGAATTGCTGATTATTACTCCTGGATCAGTAGCTAAATTTTCATGTTTATTGTATTCCTTAACAGGGGTGAGCTTGAAAGGCACACCTGTACACCTGCAAACTAAAAGCATGAATAGTTATAATTGAATACTATATTGTATGATATAACCAGAAATTTCGTTTTCTATTAATCCTTCTCACCTGCCACACAGATGATAGTCTCCACCCCCACGTTCTTTAATCCTCATGTTGGATAGAAATTATAATATCTCATTTGGGTTGTGGCGTAACGTAAGGGTATTTTCCTTGGGATGGGAAAAGCTGCGACCTTCCGGGTTAAAACAATATATTTAACCTGAATGAATTCGAGCTTGAGATTGTGGCCAACATGCCATTTGACCACACAAACATCGACTGTTAAAGCCACATTTTCAAGTTTTGCCTGACACTTCCTCATATCCTGAGTGTCGCACGTGGCAAAGCTGTGAACGATAATACCATATGTTTTTCACGCAAACATAACGGATTTATATTCGTGTATATATGTATGTACGTATGTATTTGATTTTCTATCCTTCACTACGCAGCGTTTGGTCGTTATGCATTTCAACTGTCAAGGGCAGTAAATCTCTTCAGCCTGAGCATCATGGAACCACTAATCCAGCCCTGCAGACTCGGCATCTGTAAGGTTTGCCCTCATCTCTTCAGTCGCACTTTGCAGGGCCAAAGGGCTAGAGTTGGGAAGGGCTAAAAAATTCACTACAGATCGGCACAATAAATGTGTACGATTGAGACACCCCAATAGAATAGAATCCTAACAGCAGCACCTCTATGCGTGTCATCGCATATTCGGCTTATCAAACTTGTTCATGGTCATAAAGAATGTAGCACCGATCTCATCAAACTGTTGAGCAGATCTAAGTCGTGCTTTTCTTCCTTTTTTGGAAAAAAAAAAAAAAAAAAAAAAAAACGCTGGAAGCAGTCGTGGTTTCTTTCATTAGAGTATCATGTCAAGCATGGAAAAAGGTTACCAAGCAAGCATTCAATCCGTGGCTGGCCATGGAATTGCTCCAGCAGTGCAAGATGTTACAAAGACAAACGTATATTCCACAACTTCTCAGGACTTTTTGAAAGCTTCACAGGAGATTCCAGCACCACATGATGATAAAAAAGAATTTGCCACAATGCGATTGAACCTGATATCGTCCAAGGGGCACTGCGCTACTTCCAAAAATAAACAACAAGTTGGTGCAATGTTGGGTGCTGTCTCCGGAGCAGTAATGACAGTCCGGACAAATGGTTGAATCTAAAACAGCCATTACTCGAACACGATGGCCGCCAATGGACTTGAATATTCAGAACTCGAAGGTCTGATCGCCTCAGGAAGGTCACTTCTTGTCGCCAGCGATGGATCTAATTGCCCCACAACGTTTCAAAAAGAAGCCAAAGTTGTCATCTTTCCAGATCCACTGTACAAATCTAGGCCATATGTTGAGCCCTGGAGACCAGCTGCTCGAAGCAATCCTTCCGACAGTGTACGATCACTTGCCAGCACGCTCCTATTGTAACGCCGTTCAGTCGAGAGCCTGTGAGTTGAGTTGCTCATCTATGCACCTCCTTGCCATTGCAAACTGGTAGCAAGAGATTTAGGTAGGTTTCGGCAAACTTTAGATGGGACACAAAATAGAATTGTGGTTAAGGTCTCAGCAAACATTGGATTCTGGGACTAACATTCTGGCCGACCAAGGTGCGTTTAGAACTGGTGATCAGGGTGGGATGCTGCACTGTGTAAGTTACCTTACAAAAATGGGAGGATAGCTTGGAATAGCCCCATGGGAAATGCTGCTCATGTTGCCTCAATGTGACTTCACAGAAACTGAGATCCATCTCCAAGGAAAAGGCCTATGGAAAAATGAGAGGATCCTACAAGAACTTGTTCATGTTGCCCCACATTTGCGAGCGTATGATGAAACTCCTCCCATGGAAGTCTCAGAGATTGAGGTGTTACATTGTGATTTCTATCAAAGCTGAAACCATTTTTCTCTTCGTGGGATTTTCTTTTTTCTTTTTTTCTTTTTTAAATATTTTTGCTCTCCAGAAGATATTGAATTCAGAGAAGGTTGAGAGGGACGTGGGCTTATGCCTAAAAAGAGTTTTTGTTACAAATTTGGCAGATGCAAGACAATTGCAAACAGGAATAAATGTCTTGATTGTAAACTTTGCTAATAAAAATGCAAAAGAACTATGGATTGTGATTGACTTAGAATACATCTATATTCAAATTAGTACAAAGAAAAAAAATTTAATTGAAAAAACTTAATGAAGTCACTATAATATTTAAAATAGACATTTGCATTATACAATTGTTATTGCCAAATTTCAAATCAAATCAACTAGTGAGACTTTTGATAATGGTACAGACTAATTCATTATTTTAAACAATGAATCCTATAGCAGCAAAACAAAAATTGAATAAATTATTTTTAAAGAAAAATTTAAAGAATATATAATATTAAAAGTATGTAGTTCATTAGCAATCAAACTAAAGTAATGCTAAAAGTAAGATTATTTGAGAACTTGTTAGAACTTTAAAAAATAAAAATGATTGTTTTTTTTGTATATAAAACATAAGAAAATATTTCTAAATAATCAAACTTTTGAATTCTTAGATTAAAATAAATTAAGCTTATATAAGGCCATCTAAAAATAAAAATATTATTTTAAAATAAATTTTATGTTAATAAAAAAAACAAACCATGCAACAATATAGAAGCAAAATATAGAGTAAGTTATGCTATATATCACACCTCATTAGAGATTGTTGTATTACGTGTCAAATTATTTAGAGATGCATTGAGTATTTGGTTGTAAAAGATAGACGTGAATTATATTATTAATTAAGAACCTAAAAGTCCAAATAAAATCCTAAATAAACTTCAATTAAACCTTAAAAATCCTATGAATATCCTAATCAAAACTTTAAAAGTCTTAAAAAAATCACAATATTTTTTTAAAAAAAATCTTAAAAAGAAAGCCTTAAAGAAATTACAAAGAAATATTAAAAAATCCTTAAAAAACATAAGATTCTTGAAGCTAGACTAAAAGTAAGAAAGAAGTTGACAAGAGTGAAGAAGGCATCACTCTTGCTTCTATATATACTACTTAACGAAGCAATATATGGCGACATACTATAGGACCTCTCATATGCGCCTAACTTGTAGGACACATGTCTAATTTTCAAGGCAAGTTTCTTAGGTGTATGCCATATGTCCAACTTGTATTACAAGTAGTCAACATGTCAACACATGGCCTCCTTGTTGGCCAAATTTTCAACCTACCAATCACCTATGGATATGTATAAAGGCAAAACAACATCTATGAAGCTTCTATGAAGCTTTCTATAAGATATTATCATATTTATTTACTTTGACTTACTTCTATCTATTCTTATTATCTAGATAATTATCAAGATAAATATACATGTCCATGACATTATCCCCCCCTCCTTCCTTTTATAAGGACGAATTCCACGAGGAGAGGTGATTATATATTGATGAAGTCTAAGATGCACCAAACTGTATTTGCTACATACTCTGAACTTTGCTCCCTATGAAGGTAGTTGATAGGTCCTTTCAACCATCAATAATGTCTCATATTAAAGCAAGAAGGCCAGCCTGATATTTGATCATTATTGAGGCCTTCATAACTTTCTTCAAACAAAACATTAGTAATACCATCAAAAGTGGTTCTTACCTCCAAAAGTATCACTAAACACCAGAAATCCCTTCTAAGGTCGTGGTACCAAACGCATTGTATCTTGCCATCTATTTGAGGAAGAACATGTTGTTCTTGAGGGTCTTCATCTCGATTTCACCATCTCAAAGGTTGTGAAAGTCACAATGTCTCGTTTGATAGCTCAGCAAATGATAGATCTTGAGTTGAATTCTCTAGTTGTTGGTTCTCCATCTCTTAAGCACAAAAAAATCCAAAGAAACAATGGTACAAGATAGAATGAAATCTCCATTGGACTTCCTTTGCTTTATAACAAAGAATTTCTTGACTCTTCATCTTAGTTTTGATGGATATCATTGATGAAATGCTATAACTTTAATTGATGCATTTACTAGATTCTTTGATAACTTCTATGTGTATTCATTAATATCATATCTACACTGATGTACTAGATATTCTAATCTATTTTGGCACCACCTTGAATCTAAGACTTCTTCCACCTCAAATTCTTCATTATTATCTATTTTTATAAGAGGTGGTGGCATTTGTCTCCTTCCTTATATATCCATTGTCTTGTATGGCTCAAATAAAGATACATGGAATACAAGATGGATTTTCGTAGACTTTGGTAGGTGTAATCAATAAACAATTAGATTGATGTGTTCACAAATGTTGGAAGCCTACGATAGATATCTGAGTCGGCTTTTTGTTATTCTTGAACTTTCTTTAATTGTGCCTTTATTTTGGCATGTAGCTCTGACAATCAATTTGCCACATCTTCTGCTACAAGATTATCTACTTTTAAAAAGTCAAAAGTGTCAAATCGTGGATAATAATCGTAATTGGCAAAAAAAGGTATTTGTTGAATAGAAGAATATATCAAATTATTATAAGCAAACTCTACCAATGGCAAAAGAATTGTCCAATCATCTTATTGATAGTTGATGGTACACCTCAAATACTACTCTAAAACTTAATTTATCCACTTTGTTTGTCCATCAGTTTGAAAGTAGAAAGCCGAAGATAGTTTTATATCTACCTTCAATATCTTAAAAAGAGTTTTTTAAAATCATGATAAAAACTGTGTTCTTCTATTTGATATAATATTCCTTGGTAATCCATGACAGCGATAGATGTTGTCAAAGAAGAATTTAGTTGTTCTTTCACCTGTGATAGATTTTGTACATGATACAAAATGTGCCATCTTGGTGAAACAATCTAAAATCACGAATATAGAGTCATATGAACTTAAAATTGGAAGATATGTGATAAAATCCATAGAGACAGAAGACCATTGTTGTTTTGGTATAGATAATGGTTGGAGGAGTCGATAAGATCAATGACAAGGAGTTTTTGATCTTGAACAAAGATCACATGTCGACACAAATTCTTTAACAATCTTCCATATTTTAAGCAACCAAAAATATCTAGATATAAGCTCCAAAGTCTTATTATATTCAAAATATCATATTGTAGAAAAATTATGATGAGCTTCAAGAGTATGTAATCGTGCTTTTCTTTCTGGAACATATAAGTGTCATTCGAAATAGAGTATGTCCTCCTTAAACTCAAACTTGGAAATATCTTAAGATTTAGAAGAATTGTTTTTAATATCATGAATAAGAAGGTCTAAAAACATACTTGCTTGGATCTGCTTGAAAAAAGACAAATCAAGAGTCAATATTGATTTCATTGCTCTGAGATGAAATTGTTTTGGCTTCAATAAAATTTTATTTTATTAGTCAAAAGTTGCTTCTCTTTCTTTTGATTTAAGATAAGAACATCTAGAAATGGCATCAAACAAACCTTGTTTTTTTTTTTGCCAATAAATGATATTAAACTCGAATCTTGACAAGACATGTTCCAACAAGCTTGGAGACAATTCAAAATACGTGTTGACATGAAGTACTTGAAGTTCTTGTAATCCATATATATGGTGACTAGACTTAAAGCACTTTAAGTCCAATAAATTTAAATAATAATGCCATTCTTGAAAAGAATCCATGATTACAAGAAGTTCCTTATCATAGATCTCATAATTAATCTCGACTGCTAAATTTTTTTTTAAATGAAAAGCTACTCAATGAGATTTTTCATGTACTCCTATTTGTGACAAGACTACATCTAAGGAAAAGTTAGATGGATATGTCTCCATAAAAAATACTTTGGAGAAGTCGATGCAATTCAAGATTGGTACAAAAGTAAAA